CCCTCTGGTAACTTATGAGGTAATTGTTTTTACTGCCAGCTCTCGGACTATTATTATTGGCAATGCCTCCCTACTTGCATTGCAATCTTGGTTCCTTCGACCAAGCAATTCTCAGGAACTTCTCCAAACTATCAAAAAACAAAAACTCATTGGGAGATGATAATTGACCAATCAAAATAATTATGGATGTTGCTGAAAATATTCCAGAGCCATTAGGCAATATAATAATTCTTTGTTCCAAGACGTGAATCCATCCTCGATTATAGAAAAAGGTTCTTGTAAAGCCAATTCATTAAAAGGATGCAAAAGACTAGGAACAAAACTATAGTCTAATATCACTGCTGGGCTGCCTAATATTGGTAAAGTCTTTATGTCGTCAAATATCAGTGTCGAGAGGGGTCCATCCCAGGACCCTGTTGTTTATTTTGTATACCAAGGACACAGATTACCTAATACAGATGCGAAAGTACGTATACTTGTCTTCGACGATATTCTGTGACGAAGCCGGGCCGCCAGCGCTCCGACGCATAGATAAAGATCGCCCGCGTCAGGACAATTAACGTGGCCAAGTGCGTGAGCATGTTCCAGCCTGTGTCTTTACATATTTTTGCGGGTAGAAAAAATATTTTTTTGCTGTTTGTGAACCAATTAAAGAAAGAATATTATATTATTGAGCTTCCGCATTTATATAATAAATATGTTCAAAATACATTGATGTGGCATTGGTGCGGCCAGCCTATGTCTATCAAATTAATCTTGAACCACGAATTCGCAGCTCTTTCGCATCTGTATGTAAGTAATCTGTGCCAAGGATATAAAATAGAGTTTTGTACGCTGGTGACACAAATTTGATCTTTATTTCTTAGCCGATGCTGAGATGTTTAATATTAGCTGCTCTTTGGAGACTTAGATGCAACGCTGTTGGGCTTTTGTATATTGGGTAGATCATCGTATCCTCTGCATATTGTGCAATTCTGGTGTTGATTGTTTCAGGTTTATCTGCGGTGTAGAAATTATAGAGAATGTGAGCAATTGTAGAGCCCTGTGAGACTGCAATTACTCTCGGTCTGGATTTGCATTCATTTACTCACCTTTTTGAGATGTAGTTCTGGAGGAATTGCACAAAATTAGGAATTGGGCTTTTCTTTGAAGACCTTGGTCTTATTCAACTCTTGAAAGTTGTAGTTCAATAAGGTGGTTTGGCCTGAACCCATATTGTTCGTCTGGTAGGAGGTTTCTTTTCATAACTATTTCATTCAGTCTTTCCAAGAATTTATTTTCCGAAATTTTAGCTATTGAGGAAATTAAACTGATTGGCTACCAATGCTGTGGGAGCGATTTTTGTTAGGTTTTTGGTTGGTTTGTGATTGCATCTGGGCCGAGGGCTTTTGTTTGTCTGCATTTTTTATATTTGTAATGATCTCTTCTGTGGTAGCTGATGGAATGGCGTGTTCTTTTTCTACTAGAGTTTTAATTTGTTGTGCTTTTGTGTGAATTTCAGTTTCAAAGTCTACATCATCCAATGGACATTTATGGTGAGAGAACTGTATGGCTAGTGAGCTAGCAAAAATTTGTGTATGCTATTCCCTTAGAGCCTTGTGTAGAAAGTGCGGTGAATCGGTGTGGTCAAATAATACTCTTCATGGTTCGGAATAGACTGATTTATTATATTTGATAAACATGATGGACACGAGTATAACAATTTATTATTATTGTTACAATAACGCATATGACCTAGATTTAGTTGCTATGTCAATGAAATATATAAACCACATTTGGTGGCCTTACACTTGTATCAGTGGGAATTTGAGTTGCTTTTCATTGGTTATCGCTTTTTTAAATCTCCAAAGTGAAATATCTTCTGGTTCTAAGTTAATGACATGATTCCCATTGGTCATTTCTATGTTCTTTCATTAGAGATTTAATATGCGTGGTCATTTCTGAGGCTTGTCTTTTTTGATAATAGGATGTATTGGCGCTCCTCCCTATTCTATTTTTTTCCTCTTGTGCCCTGATATTTTAGGGATAGTAAATGGATTGTTGTTTTGATTTCTAGTTTGTTGGCCATTGCTGTTTGTGTGAGATGTTGTGTAAAGGTTTCAATTTGTGCATCCATTTCGTTGTTCTAAGTCTTCTTTGTATTTTACACAGTTCATTATTCTCAAGACATTTTCATGGCCAGAGAGGAGTATTTTTCTTTCATTTTTGTTTGGGATTGTGGTCTGAGCTGAGGTCGTCTATGTTCTGTATTGTAATATTTCCATCTATGTGTGTAGGTTCTGCTGGTGCATGTATTGTTATTAGATGTCCTAGTGCATATCTAAGTAGGGCTGTACCACTAGCATTGGTGCTTCTACAGGCTCAACATCTACTCTCTGCATTTAAATCGCCTGCAACTGTGTTGGGATGTCTGTATTGGAAAGCTCATCCCGAATGTTTTGTGATACCTAATTGTTTATTGGGAGGTTTGAATACTGAAGTTTTTCTGTTGTTTGTGAGATTTATAGTGATGCCTAGATTTTCGATGTCATCTGTATCAACTGTAGTCATGGTATCGTCGCTTATAGTGTTTTTGATAGCAATAGCGGTGCCTCCTCCTGGTGTATTTGGCCTGTTAGCTCTGTGCACGTTGTAGTTTGCCATTTAAAATATAGTTTGTGGACGAAGGCAGATGTACATAGCGTCCTTCTCGGTTGATGCTGGACAGAGTTTCTGACGTATGAGATTAATAAAGAGCGTAGAAGATCCGTTGAAGTTGGTACCGTGGTATGTGAAGATTCAAGTTTCAGATCCGCGTCTTGCTACAAAAAGACGAAAGATTCCGAGAAATTCGTCCGTAATCATTTCGTCGGTGAACACAAAATGCAGTGATTTTGTGATAGTGCACACAAAGAGTCAAACGTTACCCTTGTACGTTTTTGCTGTATTTTGAAATGAGCACAGAGTATGGGTCTGCGAAGTCGATGCATACATCTGAAAAAAGATTTCACAGGCACTTATGGATCGTGCTTTGGGGAAAAAGTAACCAAAATTGCTCAAGCAACAAGATTTTAGACTTGGTGAAAACTGTGTGTGGAGTAGCCCTATGTACCCATTTGATTATTAGTTCAGTGAGTCTGTGCTATTTGGACAGTGAGAGTAGATGTTTGACGTCATAAATAGGATCCGTGGGTCTTATCCGATCATCCACCCTCAGAAAGCCCGAATCAACCAACAAGGCTAATTTTCTGAAGGGCTTAGAAAGCGGATTATTATTCTATGAACAATAAAATATAGTAGAAGAAGGTACTCCTGAATATGTTTGAGTTGAGCGTGACGTATTGATCTGAAGCGTCTAAAATAACACGTCAAACGACTGAGTCATTTCATTAGTTTTAGGCCTTACCTAATTCGCTCAAAGGAAAGAAAACCGATCAAGAAAAAAAGAAGGCATATTTTCCTCCAGTGTCCACAGATCCAAAACCGTACGTTTTTCTTTCTTAGATACCTCGGACAGACTTTGGGTGTCAGGCGTTGGTTATGCAGCCAAAAACCCCACTCGTTAGCGAGTGAATATCTATGATAATGGCAGCCAAAGATCATGTGACTTCTCCGACCGTATCACCAGAGGCCTTGGTCAAAAACTTTCACAAGGAAAAGTCCGCGACTTGCGCAATCTTGGGAAAAGACTGAACCTGTAGGCGACTGACTTTTCATTTGGCACATACGAGAGACGTTTTGTTGACTTCAAAGGTTTATAGCAAAAAGACTCACCGACCTGACTGGTATTAAAGAAACCATAACCACGACATTTTATTTCTCATGCATTCCGCAACAACACGTCTTGTACTCTTGGTATGTTTGAGCTACTGAAGTTTAGACTTGAAGGTATTCCAGGTTTTCAACAACTTAGAGGTAGGCGGCTGTCCAAGGAATGTTGGCTGCCCAAAACTGTTGGACGCGATATTTGGCCAAGAAAGTCACAGAAAGAGTGGATCGAAAATTATGCTAACTTGACTGAGAATGCCTTGCTTGGTGCCAGGTTGATCAAAGGATACACATGAGTATGAGAATACATCGGAATTTGGGTCCCATTATGTTTTGAAATACTCAAACTCGGAAATAAAAGTCTCAGATATGGTTGCTCAACCAGTTTATCTGCCACATGACAGACGCTCGCCTTCCTGGCGACGGGGTTGCATCCCAGATATATTACCCGAATGGGTTGAGTAGTATCATCGTTTAAGCTGGTACCATGCTGCTAGAATGAGCATAAACGAGAGGATACAAATTAAATTCAGAAGCATAATGTTAATGTGAGGTAAAACACGAGAGATATTATCGGCACATTGTAAGACCTAGGTTTTTGATAAAACTAGGAACATGTTTGACAAAGGAGCTAGATGTTTGAATTTCGGTAAGGGAAAGATCGGCAGGAGGAACTGGATTTTAAAATATGGATGAGTTCTGTCTACAGAGAGAGCGTATATTTAAGGGAATTGCCGCCTGTTAGGTAATCATCTAGGTATTCGTCTCGTCTTAGCCTTGGCTGCTTCCGGAAAGTTAAATACTTCTCGATTGCCTAGTTCTATGAGAATTCTCAAATGTCTAGTGGATCACTTTGAGAGGACCTCTCGAGGAGAGTATGATCTAAATTTACTTTATTGGTGACTACTTTTGCTGTATTAAAACTCTTTTCTTGTACTAATCTCGTGTTTCTTAGAATTTTATGGCTTTATTTCCCCTTCTTAATTCCTTCAATTTTTCCAATTATTTTTTTTTTTTTATGCATGTAGGCACTTCTCTTGTTCTCATATTCTTTGCCAATTCTGGAGCTTATTTATTGGCTAATGTTATTACCAAATATATAATTAGGAATTATATTATCGACGATAAACGCATTAGTTCAACTATAATTATGTATGCTGCCCAATGCACCCAATAAATTCACCGCACTTTCTGCAGAGCAGCAGAGTGTCAGGCGACCTCGTGTCAAAATTCTAATCCTTAAAATTTTTCAGGCCCTCCGTTCATTCGATCCATCGGCCCGGCGAAATCCGTTGCTGGGACAGACGCAACGATACATTGTCCCTATTCTGGATACCCTATCAAATCCGTGCGATGGGAACGACATGGCCAGGAGCTACCACAAGACATGAGGCATCGCTTAGAGGAAGGTGGGTTTAAGTGTTTTATTTACAGCTTCCAGCGCGTTGATAAATTTATTTTCAAAACCTCTATGCTTCTAGTAGGAAAACTAAAAATAGTGGGAAAACAATTAGGAAACTTCTGAAGCTTCGTATTATGCCGTCAACAAAATAATGACTCTGGAATCGACTTACTTATTAACGTCCGGAAAAATGTGGTGTAATTAAATTTTCGATGGTGTAGTCATAGTTTAATCTCTAATTTCAGGATTTGAACTTTCCTATTTCTACTTTAAATGTTTATATAACCAAATTTTTCTTTAGGAGGCGCTCTAACGATCATGAAAGTGGACCAAAATACGGACAAGGGCTTTTACACCTGCTACGTAACTAGCAGGGAAGGTCACGTTGCAAGAAAAGAAATACAACTTATTGTTAATGCTCCCCCGGTTATGGAGCCTTTCAACTTTCCGACAAGTATACAGGAGGGTGGAAGGGCACAAGTTACATGCACTGTGACTTCAGGGGATTTACCGATACACTTTTTCTGGTATAAAGATGAAGAGCCAATATCTGCCTCGTTAGAGGTAAGTATCATTTTTTTATTTTTCGAAAACCATGCTATATTCAAGACCTCATTCACGACGCGACGTATTGCGAATATTAATTCTGCCAATAAGGGATAAAATAAGTTATTGTCCCACCTTGAAACTTTATGCAAATTCACTCACTATAAACTTCCTTCCAAGTAACGTAGAAACTAAATCTTGAAAATTTTATAACTAGATAGAAGGTATTTCGAATGACTGGTCTAGAAAAGGGTTTCACGATTTGAGGGCTCAATTGCGTTTTTATTTTCTTTAAGTTTTTTCAAGGCCTTCAAAATTGGGTCCAGTTTTCAGTTGATCAATTTCTTCAAATGCGAATTAAAAATAAAAAAATTATTCAGCCTAGTTAATTCAAAAGCTATAAATGTCAAATATTCGGAGTTTCCAAAAAACATGAGAAACATGTATAAGGTCACGTTATTCCGACAGCCCAAAAAAATTGAGTTTTTTTCTAATAACCTAATCAAACATTAATAATATTTATATACTTTGGTACCATAATTGCCCAATGATGAAGTTTCCTCATCTATCAAAGGACGCAACTGAAGAGCTTTAAAAAATCGCCAGAAATTTGTTTCTTGTTGTATCACGATTATTACGATGAAATAATATGCAAGTTATTGCCGTTACATTACAAATAGGCGCGGACCCAAGAAATTTAGAGGGCAACTAAATTATTATTGCCGTATTCTTGTATTTAAAAAAAAAAACTTTCAAAACGATATATTGATGTAAATTATTGGGTAAATCATTAAATCAGTATACAGTGTGTCCCAAATTGATGGGGAATGTATAAGGATATAAGAAACTATAACATATACGAGGGAGGTTGAATGGGAAATGTTTTAGACAATTATGTTAGATGTTTAATAGCGTTTGCAGATTGAGTCTAGTCTAGCTATTCACATTTTTCAGTTATTTAGAAAGAACTTAAAAGTAGGTTTTTTGAAAATAGGCTGTAAATGTTTAATTTTTGAAAATTTCTCAAATCTGTAAAAACACTTTTAAAGCAACTCTTTGTACAGAATACGCTTGTTCGATTAGATTTTTTTCAGCACATTTCGGTTTTCTAGAACCATCATCAACTTCACTATTTCTTATAGCCGCCATATTGGATTTTTACACCACAAAATAAAGTGAAAAAATACAAAATCAACGATATAATGTACTTGACCGAAATAATTAATTTTGGCTACAGAAAATATGTTTTTATGTTTCGATCAACTAGGCAACGTCGAATTACAAAATATACTACTCAGAACGAAATAAGGACCAGTTTTGAGAGCACATTGGTTTTTATTAAATTTTGAATAACCCTGGTAAAGTGATTATTTTCATTTACAATATAGATAAACAAATAAAGTGTGCACAAAAAATTTATATTGTTAATGGGGGTCCATCACACTATCCGGAAACACGAATTTGAAATTTTTGAAGCTTTCACATTAAAATAGACAACTCAAATAATAGTTTTATGGAAAAAAAAAATGCGGGTTTTTTCATTTTTCTGCAATTCAGTTCACTCTGACGGAAATTGACCATTTCATAAATCGAATACGACATTAAACGTAATAAAAATGCAATCAACGTTGCCACATTGTGTGATATCTCCTGAGCTTAAATAATAATAAACATAAAAAAAACCATAGTCATAGTTTCTTAGAGGTTTTATTTATATTTCTTACTAATAAGTTCCATTAACCATTTGTATCTATACATTATAATATAAAAAAGGAAAAGTTGAATTAAGAACCACTAAAACTAAACAAAGCAAATTTCCTTAGGGAACAAAATATGTAATTAATCAACTTAATAATCCTATAAAAAACCATTTAATATTTTTATCCAATTTGCAATGTTAAGTTATATATTCGTTGAATGGCATTTTTGCCATATATCTGCTTCCACGTACCTATATTGGTCAATATATTGTGGCAAATATTTTGAATGCATAACACCCATAGCTCTGAGATATTTTTTCAAGCCAGACCAATACCCTTCCACCTGGTTGGTAGAGACCCCTGTAATGGGATCTTTGAAATATTTGGTATGGTTTACTGTTCGGTAGACGTAATTATAGTCTACTAATCCAGAATAAGCGCGCCAAGTGTCTGTCCATATTTCACTACCGACCCTTACATGTTTTCTTATAACCGGTAAAAGAATCGCAGCGGATCGATTTTTGACATATTGAATATATTCCTTTTTTTCAGTGTTATATTTTCTTTCAAAAATTACCGATTCATCAATCTGTACCAAATGATTCTCTCCGCCTAAATAGAATAAAAATTATAACAGACGATCCTCTTCTCAACCTTTGACACAGATCAATGAATAATATCAATTCTTATCAGTTTAATATCACTATCGCTCTGTTTTTCGATAATGACACATAAATAAAAAATGAATCAATAGGAAAGTAATTTTTTCTGGGTCTCGTAAAGAAAAAGATGATCTGATTTTAGAAACTTTTTCAACTTAAAAAAAAAAAAAACATAAAATCAATAATCTTCGTAAATTAAATGACAAATATTTTCCTGTATGAATTTCAGTAAATTTATTTATTCATAAGAATATTTAATGTTTTCCGCATCTAATTGAACATTTTAAAGAGTAACTAAACGGTTTTATGAAGAAAGTATATCGAACTTGTAAGTTTTAGTGTTTCCGTATAGTATGATGGAACCGTTAATGGAAATAAATACTTTACCAGGCTTATTCAAAATTCAATAAAAATAAAGGTGTTTTAAAAAGTGGTCCTTATTTCGTTTTGACTAGTTTATTTAGTGTACGGAAGTGAATTAATTTATAAATACAAATGAAAATATTAAAAGTCTAAAGGGGTGATGTTAGGAGATTGAGCTGGCAAATGACAAAGTTTCCAAGGAACTGAACCGCGCAATTACCTTCTCTCCAAATGTATCATGCAAAAATGCCGGAACTTCTCGGGTATTATGAGCAGAGCAACCGTCTTGTTAGACCCAAACCATAAAGGGTACCTGAAAAAAAACGCACCACACATTAAACCCAAAACAAACTTGCAACCTTCGCTGAGGTCTCAATTCTGGGTTTCCTGTTGATCAGAAGTGCTAATTGTGGCGATTTAATATGCGACTATTATTAAATCTAGTTTCATCGGACCATACAACATACAACATAATTTGGATAAGCTGGATCTGCGTTGCATTGAATAATGTAGCAGTTAAAAAACTAGATCCTCCTTAGATAGTCATCTCCTCGGAGGCCCTGCACTATGGTCGGTTTATACGGGTAATATTTATGTTACTTCAAAACTCTATGACTTAGGTATGTGAAGTTCTCTACAAGCTTCACTGAAATTTTATTCAATAGCAGCATCATGACTGAAGTGCAGTTCGATATGGTTTGCTTCTAACAAGACGGTTGCCCTGCTCTAATACCCGAGAAGTTCACGAATTTTTGCATGATTAATTTGGAGGGACAGTGGCGGATTCGGAAGGGGAGGAGGGTGTCTGATCGCCCCCCTCCCCCCTTTCTTGTCGCGTGACGTGAACAAGGAAAAAAAACTGCTGCATTTATTATTCTAATTCAAAATTGAATATTCTAACACCCCACCTAGTAGTACGAAGTAATAACGGCCGAATCACTCCAGGTAGGCCTAGATCATAGGTCCTGTTATGTTGCTTTTTTTCCAGAAATGCTTTTAACCCAGTTTCAACGATTTGGTTGAATTCTGTAGTTTCTTGAAGATTATTTGGGTATTTCATTTCAAGATTTTTTAAATTGTTTTTCTAAGGTACCTATAATTCCTACACTATAGGTGTATTCCAAAAAAATCGCCCCCCCCCCCCCCCTTTTTCAGAGCCTGGATCCGCCTCTGTGGAAAGAGGGTAATTGCGGCGGTCCAGTTCCTTGAAAACTTTGTCCTTGGCCAGCTGAGCCTCCTGACATCACTCCTTTAGATTTTTATTGTTTGCATCTATATTTATAAAATAATTTACTTCCTTATACTAGATATTTTGTGATGCGACGTTGCCAAGTTGATCAAAACATAAAAACAAAACAAAATTAATTATTTTGGTCAAGTGCATTATATCGTTGATAAATGTATTTTTTCACTCTATTTTATGGTATAAAAATCCAATATGGCGGCTATAAGAAATAATGAAGTTGATGGATGGAATAAACGTATTCTTTCAGGTTAGTCAGATGTTGTTCAAGTTCCCCAAGACGATGATATCGTCCAGATAGGCGAAACAGTAGTGGTCGAGTTCGGGTCCAATAATGTGATCCAGTATTCTTTGAAAAGTAGCCGGTGCAGAATATAATCCAAATGGCATAACTCGGAATTGAAATAAGCCAAGGCCTGGCACTGTGAAGGCGGGTATCGGTTTGCTATCGTCGGACAGCGGAACTTGCCAATAGCCCTGTTTGAGATCGATGTTTCTAATTCACCGGTCTCAAGTGATGCTTAATCAAGATTCGGCGAGTCTCCAGTATAAACACCTGAAAAGCCCTTAACTATTTCCTAGATTTCCTGAAAAATTACTCGAAGGTTTTTGGGTCAGGATATGCAATAAAACAGTGAATTAAACAAAATGGAAGCCTCCGTATTACGGAGAAGAAAAGAAAATAAATAAATATATATGTGACGTCCTATGAATGTGAAATTTGAGTAACTTCGTTATAGAACAAGTTTATCAGATCTAGGTACAGATGATATGGTTGACTAAGCTGGGCATAAAATTCCTCTTTTTGGTTGTCGGACTGGAGGACTGGAGGACTGGAGTGTATAGGAGCTGATTAGCGTAGCTTGTTGGTTTTTGCTGAGGTTTAGCCGCAGTGTAATCAGTCTTTCGCATTTTCCGGAAGGAAGCTTAGCAAGATGGCCCATAAATTAATTTTTTATGGCAAAACCCACAATGTGGATGCAAGGCTTATTCTCTTTCTTCTCTTTCCAGAAAAACATATAGCCTCCTCCGTGCTCCTTAAGTTGACCT